GTTAGCTAACTTACCTTTCTGATACAGGTGTGTGTGGGGGTGGGGGTGGGGGGGCTCCAAAAACGTAAACACAAAATACAAAATTGTTAGGACGCGCAGGCCGATGTATTATGAAAATGATCTGTTGTTACATTAAAGTAACTTCAAACAATACGTTTTTCGATTTAAAAACAATTCGGTCTAAAGTTTTATTTCCATGTGCTTCGTGGTTGGTCTTCTGCACTGCTTCAGGCATTCAGGCAATCATCCCATTGAATGTCTACAGTCGGTGGGTTAACCAATCTACGAATGATCCGATGTGATTGGAAATCTACGGTCAGCTTCCTTGAAGCTGATTGGCTGTTCCTGGGTCCGGATCGTGAGCCGGATCATCACCAAAATTTAATTGTGTGTTCCTTTGGCCAATACCCACTTGTGGTGAAATTTTCATGAAAATCCGTCCATGAGTTTTTGAGTAATTTTGTCCACAGACAGACAGACAGACAGACATACGCGACTGAAAACATTACCTCCTCCCTTGGCGAAGGCAATTTAAAAAAAACACAGTAAACATCTTATACAAGATCTGATGAGTCAAGTATTGACAGGACCTTGAAATTCTCCTGATCCCAATCATAATAATTTTCTGAGGGGATGGCCCAAGCAACCCTGACCTACAGTTGGACTATTAGACAACCCAAAAGGATCCATCAAAGTTTTAAGTCCATGCTTCAACAATTTAGGACAGTTTCTTTGAAACAAGACAAACACAACACACAGTATGCCAAATCTTTTTCAGAATGCCCTTTCATTTGTAAACTCAGTTCCACGTCTTACCACTGAGACCATTTGTGGATAACGGGGCCACAGTTTAAAACTTATCCTTCATTATACGCAGCTGCTAAAGACCTATTAACCTCTATCAGTCTTCCCATCTGATATGGGTAGACTGCTAGTCTATATTGACAATGGTTTGCAGTGGCATTTGAGGAAGAGCCCGTCCATGTAAGCAGTCATAGATTAGCGGTAGATACTATTAGTTTGTGTCTTTTAGCTGTGCTGAGTGCGTGTCTAGCATCGGCAAATCCTCCCACGCCTAATTTAAGACCCAGCATTAATCACTGGCCTTGAAAGACAGAGTCAAAGATGGGTCTGTGGTGGAAAGGAGGATGGTGGGGGGAGCCGAAACTAGACCCACTCTGCTGATTTTTCACCGGAGGCTATTTGGACAGAAGGAGGAAGTAAGAGAGGAAGAGTGAGAATGAAACAAAGAAAACGCGAAAGCTGAAGATGACAAAGGGGTGGGAAAAAATAAATTGCAAAGGGGAAGAAAGAAAGAGTAATTGAGAGAGGAAGAAAGGAAAGAGGGAGAGAGAAGCTGATTATTTGTAATTAATTAGGCGTTATTGTTCTAAATTAGCCTGCTACACGGGTGCTCATTAATCTTCTGTAGTGGGAAGCAGTGACTGGTAATCCATAGCGCAAAGTCTGCTCTAAATGCACCAGTGGTCCGTCTCTTTCTCCCTTTACCCCTTTTTTTCCTAGTGATCACCCTGCAAGACCTTCTAACCCATTAGTTTGAGCTTAATTTGACATTTATCATTTTTAGCAATTAAAAGGCTGCATTAAGGGTGCATTGCAATAGACATTATGCAGAAAAGTGGTGAAGCGCATAACATCATAGATTAAGGATGCCGTCTGTACATTAGGATGATGTATGCTGGTCTTAAATGGGGCTCTGTAACAGATCCAGTTACCATTAGACAGAGGTAGAATATGTCTCTGTGGTTTTTAAAAGAGCATTTAGGCTTGCTAAAATATACCTTATAGAAATTGCCTTGGGTCGCTAAGACATCACTACTGATTTAATATCATTTCAGGCTACTCAATGACTTGGCCTGGCCTTAGTGGGTTATGGAAAAATAATATGGTAATGTAGAGAAACATGATGGGCTTTTCTAACGTGGCAGGTAACATGGTATTAAGTGGGCCAGATCATACAAAAAAAAATAAAATGCATAAATCACTTCATATCCAATGTAAATAAGTTTTCTAAAATTTCCTTCTGTCAGAATAAGTAGTGTGCTAATAGAAAACTGGATGTTTTATTTTTATTTTTTGTCAACACCGATACCTAGGTGCACACAGAACTCACGGCTGCAATAAGATTTTCAAAAAAGGCTGATTTTGTTGGTCTGAACATTCAATTTGAGCTTGGACATACTCTTCTAGAGAAACGTCAAAACCATATTCTGGTAAAACAATGGCTTAGTGGTTAGCATTAACGCCTCACATCGATTTCCATTACATTGTTTTCTGTGGATTTTACAGGACAAGAGATTAACTCAAGACTTGTGTGACTTTCCCCACCAAAATTGTTTCAGAGCAGTCCAAGCAAAGTGCTACACTACAGCCTATTCTAAAACACTGAAACTGATTTGGCTTTCCTCATCCACAGAGCCAATCCAGTTTCAAACACTGTTTGAAACTGGTTTAGCTTTCCTCATTCATAGAGCTACATAATTACAGTATGTATTCAAGCATTGTTTCATTATACGATTGATCCTCTCTTTGTTGTATTCTGAATTTCTACAGAGGATCACAGTGCAGGGAGACCATTAATTCAGACCTACAACAGGGCCTGCCTCATATCTGTTCAAATAGACAACTAAATCTTGTTACATTGCTGAATTTTTAAACTTGATGCTCATAACATGTTGGTCATCAGAGGTTGTCTGGTGCTGGATAGATTTAATCAGTGAAAATTTGCATTATTTTTGTTTTATCTTCTTTAACTATCTACTTAAAAACAGGTGTGTGTGTGTGGGGGGGGGGGTAATAAGGACTTTTCTAGGCAAATGGTTCAATTCTATACCACAATAAAGTAACTGTTACTTTCAGTGGTCATAAAAATGTATAAAAAATAAGTTTGACTTTGCATCTAAATGCTTTAAAATTGTTTCCTGTCTATAAGAACCTCCTACCGTTTGACACTCCCACTTCAGCATGTCTCCCACTTCATTGTGTCTTAACAACAATGCTTTGCGTAAGGGGTGCTCTGTGGGGTGGGAGCTCGGCTGAAAACAGAGTTCCAGTGTGGAGCTTTGTACAAATAGGCGGTGCTTTGTACCAGCAAGTGTTTAGGCAGCTCCAAATGGCTACCATAAAATATTCAAGGATTTTCTCAAACATACAAGAGTGCAACACTCTAGGAATGTTTTTAATGAGAGAATGACATTATAACATGAAAGAAAGCTCAAAAAAGTTGATTTCGTATAATACCTTCCCTTTAACATTGCTTCAACCTTAATCCCCTGAAAAAGAAAAGTGCTTGTTAGTTTAATAGCTCAGTAATCACAATCATAAATAATACAATGGAGGTTTTAAAAACATCCTTTGATATAGATAATATTTTGCTTATTTTCACTCTTCATCTCTTGGGTGTCTGACATGTAATGAAAGTAGCTAGCAGTAGTTGACTGAAGGGCACTGAAACCTTCAAACACCAGACTATTTCTTTTGGAAATCTCCTTGATCTCAGACTGATTCGTGTTCAGAGATGCACAAGGGGGCACCTTGGATGGGATGTGCGGGCTGAGAGTGGGAGGGCTGTTGTGTCAGCATGCCCACCTGAAGGAACATCTGTCTATTCACAATACATGCATGCAGACACTTTGCTATTAATGACTCAGAACAATGCAGGACAAACAAAATGTTGTTTGCTCTTATTCATTTTAGCCATACATTATTTTATCCAACGGGGGAAAAATGAAATGAACTACTTTATTGTTATTCCAAAAGACATACAAAATTAGCAAATGGTTGTCAAAGCTTTTAAACAGCCAGGTCACCTAAGACTTATTTTTAAAGCAGTGCAGACGTGTTTTTTTTCCTGAGGACTGAAACCAAGAGTTCAAATCTTTGAAGTGCAGCTCTGTGGAAAGGTAATGAATATTTAATATCTTACCTGTCGTAGATAGCTCTTGGAGAAAAAGAAATTAGTTCTGGTGGATTGATGAGCTAACTGTTAGTCTGAGTGGAGCAAAGACCAAAGTGAATAGCTGCAGTTTAAAACAAACACAATCTGAAAGATTTTAGAGGTTCAAGCAAGCACTGTTTTATAAACCTTCACATTGCCTCAATTTCACTTTACAGTTATTTACATTAAATTTTATGGTTATTTGCAAGAAAAATAGCCAAGTTGTAGCACCTCTGGCTGTATAATCATAATGTTTTTGTTGTAATAATCATGTATTGTAATGTAAAGGTTTATAAAATAGTTTTTAAACCAACCATTATAAGAAGGATGTTGTTTTAAGAGGGCAGCAATTCACTTCTTCCTGTATTTTTGCATAGTGTGCAAGTGTGAAAGCATATTTGCTCTTCATTTCAAGGCAATCCCAGTGGGCTGATTGTATTTATGAGGATTTGTTTCTCCGATTGTTCTTGCATAGCGCAGATGAATATTCAGCAAGCTCTGAGAGAAGGGCTCGTGAGAAACCCAAGAGAGACGGAGGGCAAAAAGAAATTGCGGCTGTGGCTCACAACCACACAAACATAGGCACACGTGTGCTATGGAACACACACACAAACGCATGGCCCTGCAGCAGTGGGAGGAAAGAGCAACAGTGACAAACAGCTCCGGTGCTACAAAGTTGGCAGCAAATCTATCAAACGGGACAATAAAATTGCAATTGAGTTTCTTTAGCTTTTTTAAAGCAGATGCATGTATCTTGGTGGCTAACGCTCGCTGCAGCTATCCAATTCACAGGCAGTCATGCAGTGTGGGTGCTTTGTACACACACACACACAAATAGAGAGTATGAGCAAAATTCTTTTGGACAGCATTCGAAATGAAGCCAAGGGAAAAAAATAGTATTAAGCTAGTGTAATTATAGGAGGGGAAAAGTCATTTACAGCCTTTCATGTACAAAAAGCAATTTCTAAATGACTGCAAAATGAGACGTCAAAACAAATGCCTCATGGAAACGTTGATGAAAAAAAGATCAAAATTTTAGACTGACACGTTTACTTTTTTTGTGCCCAGTGGAACAAATATTTTTAATCATTTAAAAATGATTTCAATAAACTACAACATAAATAGCTGTATCACACACACCTGGCTGCAAAATGTAGAAAGGGATGGGTCGGGTCAGCGTCATTGCACTCCAGAATTAAAGGGGGCGCTATATCTATTAACACTTACGAATTCCTTCAAGAAGCATGTGTAGTTTTTGGTCATATGTTTTGCATTTTAAAGTGCCTGTGACATTGAATTTTTTACAACAAATATGAATGTATGTTTGGAAAGATAGCATTGATAACATATTGTAAAACAGATTTCACACTGCTGAGATGAACAGTTGTTGAGATATTTGCATGTGAATTAGCAGAAGTGATGTCAATGGGGAATGTCTAAATGTAAACAGAGTGTTGCTAAAATGGCTAACACAGACGGCAGAGAAGAAAATGGTGTTACTTTAGATTATTTTAATATCATACGGGAGATGAAAAAGTGTCATAGCTCAAATAATATTTCTCAAAGAGTCCCCCTTTGATGTCACTTCCTGTTTCACTTTAGCTGAGCCAAATTCAAAAGAAAATATGCTAAATATGTGACATAACAGATAAAATCATGTGTATTATGCCAAGTTTCTTAAATATAAATATATTTTCTTTGACTTTTTGTATTTCATCGATATGTATGTCACAGGCTCTTTAAAAACACATTGAAAAACAAAAAACAGATCTTTGTATTTTCATTTTATACTTAAAAAAACAGTGTCTTTTATTTTTGTCAAACCGAATCTTTTACACTGTTGTCATGGCATCCCAACATCCTGTGGAGCCTGCTCCAGCTGCTGAGGTAAGTAAAATAAATAACATACAATGTTTTAGTTGTAAATTTATTGCTTCATAGTTATGTTTTAATGGACAAGAATCAATAATCAAAAGAGAAAAAAATTAAACAAACACCACGGCTAGTAGAGGAAACAGTGTTTCCTTTTTTCCTGGAGTGTAGTAGTGCTATTTTCAAATATGGTATGGGTCTGACATATGACCTGACCCCGCCCCTTTCTGCATTCTGCAGCCAGGTCATTTTCAGCTGTGTTGCCTTTGAAGAAAAGAAGATTCACTTTACTGTTTATCCTCTTCTTTGTGCTTTCTGCCTGTTCTTTTTTCTACAGCGTTTGGAGGCGTGCAGAGACACTGGAATTTCAGAACACACTGCACGAGACCCAGACACACACACAAACACACCACCCGGTTAACTGCTGCCCTCACACAGCTTTTCCCCATAGAGGTCTGTCTGTGCCCCCTGTTGGACGGTAACCCTCACAGCACCACACGCTACTGTGCAGCGTCTCATATCACAAGCACTTCTTTAACTCTCCTTTCAATCTGCCAGGGCTTAAAAAGCCCCCAGACCACAATCTGACACCAACCCCAATTATTCCACTGCTCTGGAACAGGGTCGCGTAATTTGATATCAACATTGAATTTCTAAAGCAGAATGTTGAACTTGGCTTTTGGAAATGATAAGTGCCCGGAGTTTATTTTTATCTGTTCGGTGTGAAAGAAAAAGACCCTTTACGTAAATAAAAGGAAGGACTGAAGGGATCCATTCCAACTGGTTTAGGCTGCAACTAGCTTTAAATTATAATCACCATGATGGGCACGGAGAAGCACGCTTCAGTTATGATGATAATCTACACTGCAATTTAAAGGGCCAGACAACAATTTTTAGTAGGTTTTGGTTTGATGAATTGGATTTTGTCAGCTTCGAAGATAAAACAAAAAAAAACATGGGTGGCAGAGCTAATGTGTTTCAGAAAAAGTTCTTCCTGTTTGGCTGGAAACTAACTGAGGAGGCTGGTTATGGTTATGGTTACAGTTACGTGTTGAGTGTTTAGGTGGGAAATATTGCAGCAAAATCCTAGAGTGTGTACGAGATAAAACAAAGAGGAGCAAAATTTCGACATAAAAATGTGTTGTACTTTAAAAAAAATAGTTTAACATTGTTTTTTTTTTGTGCGTCTGTTTGAGGAGTGTGTGGATGTAATGAGCGCTCTGACCTTGGAGTGGGTGATGGACAGGGTGTCCACCCAGACGCGCCAACCGCCCCACTCGTATTTGATGGCGTGGTAGAGCAGGATGCGGAAGATGGCGTACACCATCTCTGTGATTTTCTGCTCCTCTGTGTTTCGCGGGTTGACAAAGCACAAAGAGAGCATCCACTCCTGCCACACCGAGCACTGCAGCAGGCTCCTGAAACAAAGGGCACAGCTGTGAGAGGCTGAAAAAGTAATCATCGCACAGACTCCTGTGAGACTCCGTCCAATGAAACGCTGTTATTCTTACCTGCGGTTCTCTCGACTGTTATTGAAAAGTTTGATCATGTCTGAAAGGAAGGCCCTGCGCACCTCCATGCTCTCAGGGGATGAGGGAGAGTTCTTCACGAGAGCAGCTATTACCTTCAGAATTTCTGCAACAGAAAAATAAAACCCTTCTGAAAAGATGTTTACAAAAAGTGGAGGGGGAAAAAAAAACGGGAAATGAAGCCTGAAAAATGCCCGACTGCTTTGTCTGCTTTTCCCATTTTGTAGTCCATTCTTACAATGTTTAAACTTCCAATAATTATATATCCTTCTGCACAAATCACAAACTAAACCATATATTGGTCTCAACATGTGCAAATCATTGTGTCACATGCTATCTAAGCTCTACATACCTGGAAATCAGTACATTTGGTGCAGAAGACAGAAGAAAATAAAAAGCTCTAGTTATTGATCTTTATCACACTGTAATGGTTTTGGTAGCGTTTGAAACGAGTGAGCCAGAGCCGAAGACACTTCTCAACGGCTTCGGTTAAACCAAAGAGACTGACTGTTTGGATGAATTATCTAGACGGTGTCAGCGTGCATTTGCTTTGAGCGGAGAGATGGTGGGGTTTGGGTTTCGCTTGTCTTTTTTTTTTTAAGACCTTGATGCTAACCGATGCCGCCCGTCCACCCACCCCAGCAGACAGTTGTGTTGTTTCTACGCCTTAGTCGCTCAAATTATGAGTCGCTGAACCTTCACCGCCAGAAAATTACCCCAGCATGTACGGGGTATGAGGATGGAGGGATGACCTATTCCCGTCTTTTTTTTTTTCCATTTGCTACCCCCCACACCCCCCCTCCCCTTAAAGTTAATTTGAGGGAAACGCTACTTCCTCGGTTTGTTTGATTGGCTCTGACGTTACTAAAGACTGCAATCAGGGGGCCATTTTGGGAGTTTGTCGCAGATTAAATCAGGAGAATACACAGCAAAGGAGAAACAGACCACAGCTCTGCGTTCCGTAGCATGAGCGCACGTTCACAAACCCCGACAAGGTTCCTATGATACATATACACACACAAACCGCCTGTCTAGGATGGCTGGGCAGGAGAGTTTTTAACACAATAAAGGCTCGAGATAATCAGTGTGTGACTACAGCGAGACCTTGTCAGATTAAGGCTGGTTGGAAGTAAACCTTGGTTGTGATTACAGCAAGCTCTTGAATTTCAAATTGATTAAAGCTGTTTTGCACATGTGTGTGGAGACGGTGCATGCGCACGTCTGGAAGCAACAACATATAGAGAGAGTTTTCTTATTTGGTAAGAATACTGAAAATGGCAACACGGGAAAAAGAAACGTGCTGGCGTGATGTGAAACTGGACGCAAATAATCACATCCAAACATGGGATGTCAACAAAGATCAAGGTTATTGTTTCTGGATGGTATGTTGCTGTGTTTGAAAGGAAAAGTGGCATGCAAACCGGTATGAAATATTTATGAAATAAACAGATTATCTGAAATTTGGAATCACATGATGTGACAGAAAACACAGATGATTGTATGCACATGTATTTATATTTAAAATGTGCCATAAATACTGAAATAGAAAAGGATTTTTTTATAATTTAGTAAAATAATAAAATAAGAGTGTTTCATCACACATACAACTGATTGTAAAAATAAAATTAAATCAAGTATACAGCAAGTTCAGCATTAATTATAAGCTAAGGCTGAAATGTGTTCATTTGTCTGAATATGATTTAGATTTTTGGTAACGCTTAATTTTATGGTACCCTTATTACCATGTAATTACAAGGTAATAAATTGTAATTACTACCTCATTATCATGTAATTATGTGGTAATTAGGGTACAAAAGAAAAACTACTGTTAGTAAAACTACATTTATTGGGTAACTACAATCAAATTACTATTCAATAGTAACTCAACACTATACAGTATTTATAACCAAAAGAATGCAACTACATTTTGGGGTTAGTGGTTAATTGCAATAAAATATAACTTTAAAACTGGCTAAATTACCTACTACTTATTTAGGTGTTACATAGTGAACCGTAATTCATTACCAAGTAAGTGCTAAATTACTGCAGACAATTAATTACATAGTAAAACTGTACCCTAATTACCACGTAATTACATGGTAATAAGGTAGTAATTACATTTAATTACCTTTTTTATTACTTTGTAATTACATGGCAATAAGGGTACCGTAAAAGAAAGTGTTACCATTATTTCTGGGAAAAAATACAAATAAAAACTCAGTGCCTTAATAAAACAACCAGATAAAAAGGTTTTGAGTCGCTATGTTTTCTTTTTGAGGTTCATTAGTAAGTATACGTACTCCCTGGCTGAAGTTTTTTATTTAATTTAATTTTTTTTTGCTGGAAGGTACACAGCGATCGCTCAGTTCCACAGGGATTACCCTCCTGCAGCATGGAGCTGTAGGTATGCACGGGGTACATTGCAGCGGATGATTTAGGAGAGCAAAGTGGCGCGAGGGAGGCACTTACGTGGGTTGAGGATCTTCACAGTGGAGTCGGGGTCCGGATGTTGTTTATGGATCACTTGAGTGCAGATCTGCTCTGTAAGAATCTACCAGGGGACACAGTCATAAATGTTACTCTGAACAATAACTAAGAGAAAATACTGAACTATGTTTATGTTTCGCTGTCGCATTTATTTTAAGGTTGTCCAAATTCAGTTCCGCTGCTTTAGTATTTCATGTGGATAATTACATTTTCACAGAGACTAAATTCAGCAGGACACGTACACAAGAAGAGGCAGCAGCTAAACGTACTGCTTCTGTGTTTTATTATTGTTTTCAGTTCTGCTCTTTAGTCAAGAGAGTCAGCGCGGGTGGACTGACCTCATACAGCACATTGTAGGTCGTCATGGTGAACTGGCCGGAGTGAAGCGTCAGGCGTTCAGTCAGCAGGGAGAACAGGCCGTGACTCAGCATGACCTCCGATTTCCTCCTGATCGGGGTGGTAAAAAGAGCAGTAAGCATTGTTATATTATATTATAAATTAGTAAATTTTAGTATATTTTGATATAGAAGACAGCACCTATGTCAAAACCTTTTTTGTAAGCCGTATAATTTTTGGTTACATCTTGCAATATTTTGTAACGTGCATCATGCATATCGGTTTTGTAACAAATAATGTCATTTATGCAATTTTCCCTTTTAAAATCATAAGAATTAAGTAAAATTTAAGACTAAAAATAGCAGTTCAGTTTTTTCTATTTGTTTGGTTGGGTTTGAGAGTGCACCAAAAACATTTAGACACATGACTGAGAGCAGAAACTTGAGCTGAATACTAATAAGACCAACCAGTTGTTACATGTACTTTTGTTTAGGGGTGTAAGAAAATATCAATACATTTAAATATTGCAATATCTGTTCTTAAAAGCAATATTTGGATTTTTTAATTAAAGTTACAAATGTAAAATATCGTGCCAGTGGTTCATTATTGTGTTGTAATTTAGTCTTTGACCACTAGTTGGCAGATAAATGGATGTTGTAAGAAACGTGAAATAAAAATGCAGTTCTCACTGTTGCTCAGCGTTTGACTGATTGCATAAAAATAAACTGAGTTAATCAGATTTTATGCATGGATTGAATGGTGTGCTCTTTATACTGAAATTTTTTTATCTTATTTATTTTTTATCTGGAATCCTCTGGAAGAAGAAAATGGCAATATTTCACCTTGCTTATAGTATCACAATATATTTCAATACTGAATTGTGACCTGTATCATATGTCAACAAATTCTTGCCAATAAACAACCCTACTTTTCTTAAGGTACACATTACTACTACAACCTTGGATAATGCGAAAAAAAGAATTGAGATACTCACTTTGGTAATAGGTTCTTGAGAAAGTAGCCCATGACCTTCAGTGTTTGGACTCTTACTCCTTCATTTTGTGAAGCCAAAAGCTTGTAGATCACACTGTGGTTCAAATAATAATAATCAAACATCACATTAAAAATAAAACAAATCACACTTCAAAACCACATGATGACGAGCAGATTAGCAAAGATTTCACTGAAAGCATAAGCAAGCAGTTAACAAAAATGGGAAAAGTTTATAATTACCGAATTCCATTCCGCTGGTCAAAGGCCTGGATCATAGAGCCAGGATGTTCAGACATCAGAGCAACCAACAACTGCAGGACATCCATGAGATTCTCATCCTGTAAAAACAAACAGATCTGTGTGATTGATTTACTAAACATAATTTCAACTTAAACAAACCCACTTCTGTCAGAACCTAACAAGTGGTGGATATGGAAAAATAAAAACAAAACGAATAAAATGTTTTTTCTGCCTCTCGTGAAATGTTTACAGGAAACACATTTAAAGGTCAGGAAGGAAGAAAAGCACACAGTAGCAGTATTATGTTGCCATCTGGTGGTGATGTTTTTCTCTGCATAAGCAGGAGTTTCCAGGCCTACCTCATGCATGGTCAAGAGGTAGTTCAGGATGCTCTGCAGCTCATCTTCCTTCACTCCATGATCCTGCAACATGAAGGCACAAATAAACCATATATTCACTAAACTGGCTGCTCTCTACAGATAAAGTTTTAAAACTACTAATTAACTGTGTATCCAAGCATATATGTTAGACATCCATGAAAAAAAATTAAGTACATTTTAAGCATTTTTTTATTGGTAAATATGATCAACCATAAAAACATGTACAATCCTATCATTAAACACACATTCCCAACAGTATCATATTTTAGTTCACATTCCATTTTAAATGAGGTTCCTAAAAAAGCAAAAGATTTTTGTGACATAAGCTTACCTTTATTATGAGCTGCTTGACAAACAGGAGCAGAAAGGCTCGTAAAGAGAGCATCTCCTTCTGATTTGGTCTTGGACCATCTGAAAACCAGAAAAAAAACATATAACATCACCTAAATGTGGTAAATAATTATGCAAAAGAATATATCAATATTCAATCCCTTTTTTTTATTTTAACCTGAGAACAGGAACATCATCAGTGCAACGTGTAAATGTGTATTTGTGCATTACCATGATCATATCTGCATGCAAAAACTAGTTATTGTGACTTTTAGATTAAAGTTGTCAGTATAGAGAAAAAAATATACATATTGTCTGGTTCTTAACCTAAATAAGATATTGCAATGGCTGAGACAAAGTCCAGACCTCAACTTGAATGAACAAAAACCCAAAATAATCAAACGAGCACTAACTTTTGTCCACATTCAAGTTGTTCATACTTGAGCTAATTAAATATCAATTCATGAAATAAAAAAATGAGGCTGTTCTACAACTTTATAGAGGGTGTCTACAGCTCTTATAAATTAATCCTTAACAAAGTGATAATTTATTTTCAGTGTCTTTAAAAAAAATCAATATGTAGCAAAAATTGGTTGTGTCTGCAAACCTCAATAAACAGAAGCAACATTGGGAACAGAGAATTAAGAGAATTAAATGCATGTACAAAAATGCAACTATGGCGATCAATGATGTGACATGAAAAGTGATCCAGATCAATTATTTTTGGAACATTACGAATAAAGTTTGTTCACAATCTTACCAAGACCTTTGGGTGCGATTCCACTGCGATCCTGAGGGTTGACTACCCAGTAGTAGTATTTTAGTGTATGCATGATTTGGAGAACTGTGCCGACCCTGCGAACTGCGTTGTAGATGGTCACTGTGCTGATGAACTCGGTCGCCAAGTAGGTGTAGAGTGTGAGCTGCACCTGCGCAGGTAAAGGCAAACGCAAATCAGTCCATGTCAGGGATGGGCAACAGGCGGTCCGGCCCGCTCTTACATAAGAGCTGCTTTAAGTGCTTTTTTAAAGGGTAACTTTTTTTTTGCGTGCTTACCTTTGCAAGCCCCGATACACAAGTAGTTTTATAGTACCTCATATTAGATATGAAGTGAAACTATATTTTTAATTCTTATTATTTAAAACTTAGCTTCTTAATTTGGAATTTCTATGATTTACTTTATGTGTGATCTGTTTAAAATTGCAAATCAATCCTTTATCTTTATAAAAAGGTTGCAGGGCTGAGACTGCAAAAAGGACAATTTTTTCGCAAAAATAGGACACCACTTTCACTACCGGACAATAAGGACATTAAAAATGAACCATTGCATAAGGAGGTAAACATGTTGATACCTCTTCACTGTAACTGTTCAAAGAAAAGTTCAATTAAAAAATAAGTATAAAAAGAAAAAGGCCTTTCAGGGGTTTCAGGTTACCTTGGCTGGGGCATGGATCCAGATGGCAGGGTTGAACAGAATGTGGTCACAAAGCTGCTTGAGCAACAAGATACCGTTCTGCAAGTTGCTAAGGTATCTGGAAAAGGCCAGAACAATGTCCAGGACGGGCCGCGTCACATGCACCTTGGACGACTGGAGCACAGAGAAGGGGGAAAGAGGAAATAATCTTCATGTGATGTGAAGGACGTGTGAAAAGGAAGAAGAGGAAGAGCTCCTCTTCTGCTTAACAAGCACACACGCCAGAGGTGACCTCCAAAAGGGGTCAGAAAAGGAGCGCCGCCTCATTTCTGAGCTGGGGTCATTAAGAGATTATTACTACCTCACCTTCTCCAAACTGTAGCCAATGACGAGGAAGCCTTTGCAGGCCAGGACCTGCTCCTGCATCGCCACCGAGTTCTTCAGGAGCTCCATCACGAAGGACAGCAAAGTGCAGCTGTCGGGCGAGAGACGGACAGCGAGTCAGACAGTGACAATAATCTGGGTAAGCTGCTGACAAAGCCCCAACTATCAAACATACATCCGGTATGAAGTGTGACTGAATGAGGGTGTCGTGTCCCTAAATAGCGGTGAGAGCAGATTTTAGTCAGCGTCACCTTGAGGGCAGCTGATACAACTACACTGCGCTTCAAAGTTAAGATGGCTCCAATGTGACATTTCACGTCACTAAAATTTACCATTAGATGATTGAAGTGTGTGAGCATACAGTAAGCAGAGAAAACACTGAAATACAAATGAGAACATTTAAACATATCATAAATGTAGCTTTTCTACCCCTCTAAAGCATCTCAATAAACATTTCTTATTTGTAAGATGAGCGGTAGAATTAAACTACATTTCTTCACACACACCCAAAAAAAAGAAAAGAAAAAAAGATCAAATCCATATAATTCAACTGGTTAAACTTGTTTTTTAGGCCACAGTATCCAAATGGTTCTTGCACATTTAACACTCTACAAACAGTCAACTAGGAAACTGAACGCTGAGTTTTAAATGTCAAGTAGAATCAGTTTAATGTTGCAGTAAACCCTCCTGACTGCTTGTTGCTCAGAGTACTCCCACATTATCTGGCCTTACCAAACAGAGGTGTCCAGCTCTTGGCTGGAGGGCTGGCAATAATCCAGCTGTGCAAACAGAGGGAAGAGGACCTGAACACCTCCGATGGAGTGGATGCCACTCTGGACTGAGTGAGTCACTACAGCCTTCACGTCCTGCAGAAACACACAAATACAGTTAGTTTTCATTGCCCAATTTCTTTTTGCAAAAAAAAAAAAAACTAAACATTTATTGTGATAGAATAATGTGTAATAAACAAATTCTGCAAATCAACACATTTAAAATAAATGAATAATTTGGTGGTTTAAGTGTGTACGTTGCATTAATTCCATGTAGAGTTCACACTGGAGTCTAATGGAGGTTACATTTAAAATATATGAATAATGTGAACGTCCACTTAAAAAAANCATTTATTGTGATAGAATAATGTGTAATAAACAAATTCTGCAAATCAACACATTTAAAATAAATGAATAATTTGGTGGTTTAAGTGTTTAAGTTGTGAGACTGTTTGACATTTTTCTAACTACTTGTTCATAAGGAGCAACCTCAATAAAAGTAAAGCAAAAACTATTCATAATGTTTGGCACTCTTGAATGAAATGGTGTCTGTGTTGTACGGTGTGACACCAACACTGGATTAAAATAAAAAAACTTCTATTTTTATGAGATTAAAATGTGAGCGTGGCCGAGCAAAGCTGCAAATATAGGTCACATATTCATTCATATTTCACACTGTGTGTAAATATCTGTGTGGTAGAACGAGCATAGTGCAAGTTTTTGTGGCTGCAAAGCCTCCCTCATCAACAAAACAGTCCTTTTTTATATTTTTTAAAGGCATAAAAAATGTAATCTATGCCTGAGAAAGAAATGAGATATAAACTGCTTGTGTGGTTTTTAAGTTTCCAAGAATTGTGTTAATATACTGTTTGTGTGGTTAGACAATTTTCAAGCAAAACACGAATTTTTTTTATTTCATCACCTACTTCTTTTTTTTTTTAGCCTGAATGAGACCTAAAAAATAAAAATACCAGTTGAACCGCTCTCTATGTTCATGAAAAATATGCATAAAGAAGCAAACAAAAAGGACAGTAGGAAGTAGGGGAAGGTGTACATTCTTTAAATGGAGACATCAGGTTCCCATGAAAAAATAAATAGCATGCATATGCAATACAAACTTTATTCTGAGAAATGGTTCCTGTTATGTACAAGCTAAAAAAAGTCCCACTGATTACCTGCAGCATGAGTGCATGTGGTGAGTGGACAAAAATCGAGGGGTTGTCTTTGGGGGAAGACTCGAGGCAGAGCTGGGCGTCTGTGGCGCGGGGGTTATAAGTGAAGGCGATGCACGAGGACAGCTTGCCGTCGTACAGTAAGGTCTTGTGGTGCTCCGCGAACAACAAGTCGCTCTCGGCTCTGTGCTTGAATGTGCCCTGTGCAACGAGACAAAAAAAGTGGAAAAACTCAGAGAGAGAGCTAAAAATATGTTCTGTGTATAATAAAATTTATAAACTAGTGCCCAAAATAAAATGTTACAATCAATAACCTCCAAAATCTTAATGTGAATAAGCATTAACAGAACATCAGTGTTTACTCTAAGAGCAAGAACTTGATTTATAAATGTTTAACTTAAAGCATTTCCCTCTCAAAAATACAGCTGTTCTTATTTTAGTTTCCACATGAAGAGCAGCATTCCTCTAATTCAGTATCTACAGAAAAAAAACATGGTTTCTATACTTAATTTGTAATTTTAATAACAATGAGCAGCAAAGAGCAACTTTTGATTGACATTCTAATCTACAACCACTGGATCTTTACAACACTTGATGAAAATGCTCAGGCTTTCACTAAATCTTCTAGGGTTTTAAATTAATTTGAAAACAGTGTTTCCACCATTTCTTTTAGGAAATTTCTCCTGTGACCGCTTCAGGCAACGGGTTAAAGGTCAAAGAGCCTCCTATTTATGGCTTTGTGCAAGATAAGCTGCCAGAACAGTGTTTTCACAGAACACACAGGCCACAAAGAAGTAAATAATGGTTCATCAACCGCCACAACCAGAACCACAGCGATACAGCTAACCTTCTAGCTTTGTTCAAAAAAATACATTTTGCTTTACAAGACAAAATTTAGAAAACTCCTCTAATTTTTTTAATCAGTAAGTTTATTTCAGTCTTCTGTTTTAACCACTTCCTTCACCAGGTCTTCTAATTTTGTTTTCTGCTCAAGTCAGTTTCCTCTACTTGAATCAGTCAGATTCTTTTGTATTGTAGTGATAATCTTGTAAGTGTACTAAAACGGTTGTGTTTTCCAACCTGGTAGCCTGGACCCAGCTGATAGATGGCCAAGATCTGAGCAGCGCTGAGAGCTTCTGAAAACAGATAAACTGCCCCCATCTGCCCACAGAACACACGATTCACATCCGCCGTCTCAGACGATCCCAGGAAACACTTGTCAAATGTCTGCGGGAGGCAGATTAAAGGGTGATGGCATTTATAACAAGTAAATAAAAACTGAAAAGTATACATGAAAGGAGGAACAAATTAACAAAAGCAGGAAAGAACAAAAAAGCAAATCACAATTGAAGCAAACTTGACAACGTCAGTGATGAATCAGCAGTGTTACAAATGAGAAAATTTTACAGCGTAAAGCAATCAAATCCACAAACAACTGCGTATTTTTTTTAAAAATGCGAACGTAAATGTTTTCAAAACATTGCAGCTTACATCGCTGGTGTTGACAAACCAGGCGATGTCTCCAAAGGAAGCCAGTTCTCCGTTCACATAGCAGCTAATTTCACTGTTTTTCCAGCGGTTGTAGGTGTGGACGAGAGTCACCATGTACCACTGCAACAACAACAAAAAAACAAAAAAGCATCATTAGGAGAAATCTGTGTGAACTTAATTAGCCTACATCAGGCTTCTAATCCCCTCAAGGTATGATCTCACCTACATGAATTTTTTAATAAACTAAATTTGTGTCAAATATAGCGTGTAAAATCAGCTAAACTTAGCTTTTTCCACCCTGCTGAGAATAGCTGGTGTATAAAGATGCTTTTATCCCTGGGCAAGAAAGAGAAAGTATCAAACTGCCCACAGACTGGAGGATCTCTCTGACTCTAATGGTCTTCAGAGGGTGCTGTGACTAAAGGGGACAGGGTTTTTAGATAATCCTCTTCCCCCACTAATCTAATTCCTCCTTCTTCTAGCTCTGTTTCCCCTTCCAAAAAAAAATCAGAGTTATAATCTATTTATATGGATTGGTTGTTTTGTAACCACAAGTTTGTGATTTGTCTGCTTCCTTTACGTACCTTCTGTGGTTTGAAGTCGTACTTTACACAGTGCTGGAAACCTTTGCCCTTTGATTTTAATGAGGTCACTATCAAACAGCCGCCCACAAAGTGTGCAGAGTAACCCATGCCTTTGTTGGTGCGGAAACTGGAAGAGGGGAGAAAAAAAACATGAAGGGAAAACACAAACGCTCAGATTTCGTGGCTGTGGGAGTTTTTGTGTGCTTGTGCTACATTAAAGAGGAACACCAATAGTGTCCAATAAATAATAGACTTTAAAAGGATCATCAGGAGGATTAAGATGGCTCCCAATTATGTTTTTATCTTCACAGATACTTTTGCTCACACTCCCGGTGAGATGGAACCCTTGCATGTGATTTAGCTAATTAATCCTTTACGAAAAAGGGGCACAAGACTGAAGAGCTTTGATTGCAATTTTTCTTAGACAAATCTTAAGCTGACTCTCTTGGTTATTTTTTAAACAGAGGCTCCAATGGATCCTTACTGGTCTTAAGAAAGGATCAGAAGGTTTGTTTAACCATGCCCTCAAAGAGGAAACAACTGAAAAGAAGAAATGAAGGGGAAGTCACGATGGTTTTTCATCTGTGACGCTGGATGCTGCACTTGTGCGGTACAGTGCTCCAGTTTCAAACATGCAATTCCTCTCTTTTTGTGTTACCTGCATTGCAAAGGTTTGCACCTACCATTAGCAAAAAGGACAGCTGCACGACGAAAGCACATAATTTGACTTTCAAAAACCTAATTTCAATTCACAAGTTCAAAACTGATGCTCCTGTTATTGGCAGTAATGCATACCAGTACATATAAGGCTTGTCTTTGTCTGCATTGATGTTGTTGAGAGGGTCCATTCGGAGCCACGTGTGGAATGTAAATCCATTCTGATATGGCCATCTTGCAACAGGGGGCAGAGCTATCGCCTGTGGAGAAAACAACACAGACAGGAAGCAACATGTGGAATGCTGATGCAAGGTTTATTTTTATTATTATGTTTGAAAAATCATTTGCCTATACAGTCAGGCAGTCATTTCAATAGTAAACAGAAAGCAAAAGCACATATATATTTATTTTTGTCGGTGTGTGTGTCCTCTAAATTTTGTATATTCGTTATCAGAATACAAGGACAGGTAGTCGCAATAACTTACTGCTGAGAATTACAGATAAAAAAAACCAACCTAATCCCACAAGGCAGCATTCTGCATCTTAAATAAACCACAATCTCATCAGCAAAAGGTTACACACACACGGCCAAGAGCCCACAGAAACACAGATGAGTTAAAAAAGGCCTAACTTGATATATCAATGGGGGAAAGTTTACACTCAGGCAGAGGCGACTTCCTGTGAGATACCCTGTTGTGATAACGAATGACCTGATAACGCGTCTGTGTGCAAGTCAAGCAGGATCTGTCAATGATGAATGAAAGACTGACCGTTTATTACAGGTAAAATCAGTTCATTTAAAAGAAAACATATACATTAGTATATAACAAAAGCTTTTTGTCAGTAAAACCGCGCCACACCACAACACACTTTGTGGCAGGAAGAGGAAAAATCAACAGCGCAACTTCAGTGTATGTGGCAACCATTTGTGCATCAGCAACACAGTGTTTCTGTAATGTTTCACTGCAATGAAACTAAAACTAAAGACCAGCTTTTAAAGCACAGAAAACTACAGACAGCTTTAATAAAGCAAGTGTTTGGAAGGTAAAGTACAGCCAAAGTTGTCAAAAAAACGTGACTGCGTGGGTGAACAAAAATATTTCCTACGTGAAAAATGCAGTCAGGCGCAAATTATTCTTTAAGAGAATTGAGAATGCCATCATCAGAGAGAAGGCTCCAGGACACCTAATTTTTCTGACAGTTCACAAGAGTTTCTTTGAGCACCATGGTTTGAGTCTGGGAAGGGGTCTCAGTTTTACTGCAGCTCGGACAGCACTTAGTCTGATGGAAATTCAGAACCGAGAACTTCTTTTTCATCATTATCATTAGTGGGAAATATGTTTCAATATGGACAAAAGGCAAGAACTTTTCCCTAAACCCATTGGCGGTTCACTTATAATCGTTTTAAACCGTGGAAGCTACTGATGGATGAATTGTTAGGCAGTGACAATATAAATTATGTAGTCCATCAATGGAGGGTAGCCACTAACTAACATCCATGCCAAAAAGCTCATTATGTATGTGGAAATGTTAATGAAAATTTGTGGCATTATTTATTGTACTCACAGCTGCATTTTTTCCTGGAAAGCTGAAGAATGAGTCAGGGCCGTGTCTGTGCGCCATGTACTTCAGAATTGACAAAAGCTTCACCGCATGATGTGGCTGAGGAAAAAACATGCAGAAAATTAAGTATTTTGAGCTGCTATAGTGATATATGGTAAAAATACCAGCTGCATGTTATGCACTTACAATGCATGCAGGCAGAGATCAAACTATTAAAGAAAGCTCCAAATTATAACTCTTGAATATGGCTACAACTTGTTTAATTTTACATAAGACATTTTCTTTTTTTTTCTTTTTTAAGAAATGTAACTAAAAGTCTAAATACAAACGAACTATTTTCTGACAGAGTCGATGATTAATGTATTAGAATCATTATTTTACTCACTTTGTCAAACTATCAGTGCTATTTGGGTTTTTTTTTTTTTTTTTTTTTTTAATAAATGTAAATACTGCTGTAATTTTGGGGGAATTGCACTGCTATAGTGCTAAGAGGAAAAAAATTTAACTAACTCCAAATTTGTCTAGAAGCTTTCAAACAACCTAGTATAAATAATGCAGCATTTCTCAGGATCTTTGGTATCACATGACCTAGCTCAACCGTAACAAGAGGTACAACCTGTGTTTTTGATGCATTACTCACGCAAGTGTTAGCTACCAAAAGGGACGGTTGTGTTATGACTCTGACTCACCCACTGGCTTTTTTCTCCTTGGAGCTTGCTGAAGAAAAGCTTCAGCTCTTTCACAGTGATGCTGTAGCTGGCGAGCACACCTAACATGTCCACCAGCAGGTCTGGAAAAAGCATACAGGACAAGAGCCACACGTTACACACAGAGAGAAGATTACAGGGTTGATTGAACTACTAATGAGTTAAAGTGATTGAATTTTTCAGACAAAAGAGGGGTTAAAATGACTGAGCTATTAACGAAACGTTGAGCTATTTCAGTAAATGCCAAAATGTTTGCAAATGTATTCTAACTTTATGGCTGGAGAAATGTTCATCTTTAAGATTTGTTTTCAAATAGAAACATATCACCTATGTTTAGTGGACATATACTCAAGATAACACGTCTTGTACACAATTCTTTAAACTTCCTAATAACTGCTGGACTGTGCCAGCCTGGCTTTACTGCTCAAGTGCTCAAGGCCAGTGATGTTCTAGCTAGAAAACAGTTCACTGAGCCGAGAATTGCTTCATCCCAATTTGCAGCTGCGCAACACACTGCTGAGACATGAGACTGAGAATGTACAGGACAACTCAGTCAGTGCTGCACAACCAAACCAAACCAACCTATGTGCAACAAAACAATTATAAGAAGTAGTCTGGAGTTATTGACTAGATGAACACAATTCTGCATGTAGCCAGCGTTTTGCAAACACAAAAATGAGAGAGCCAAAATGGATTTAAGAAAGTCCTTTATCAATTTATTTTAGCTGAAATTATTTTAAGCTGCACTTGACTTTAACTCTCCTGTCTTTTGTGGAAAGTTTAGCATACTTGCTTACACCAATTGTACACACTATGAGTTGATAAAAACAATTGTGAAACTCAGTGACACATTCAGTCCTCGGTCTTAACATTCCTTCCCAACGTAAGAATCTGATTCTGAAAACAATGTTTCCAGTCATCTCTTGCCCTCGATAAAAAAAAAACCTTTTTCTACCCACAGTTACAGTGTGATTTCTCTTTTTGTCCTTTTCAGGTGCCATCACTAGAGAAGTACCACTTCCTGCTACACAGAAGTCTAAAATTACTGTGTAGGTCACGAGTCTGGCTAGTAGGAAACAAAAATCTAAATGGGAGTTTTGCACCCATTTAGATCGGTGCTAAAAGAAATGGGCTCTTTTCACCATTTCACACGGTGTCAACACATTTTCTAGACGAGAACGTTCCCAGTACCTGCAATCATGCTGTCAGCTGTGGTTATACGCTGGAGCACCTGCTGGATGAGCCCCACTTCAGTGCATGCCTGCAGGTTACGAACGCTTTTCTTGAGGATGGCCGTGAAGATGCTCCAAATCTCGGCCTGACAGTTTGGCTCGCACTTCTCCAAGAGCTCCACCATGCACACAATGCTCTCTGGCTCCTGGATGATGAAGTTCATCTCAAGGTCAAACTGACCGCCGACCAGCTGGAGAAACAAAGAAAGAGAAAAGAAAAAAAGGAAAAGTGTGATCGGATGAGAGGGAGACAGAGACATATGAAGGAAAATTTGCAAAAGAAATAAAAAAAACATCTACTGTAATAATGTGTAAACTTTTCAAAAACAATAAGATGACAGCATATAAAAAGTTCAGCTGTCAGAGTATCTTCAAGTCTGTCGGAGAAATCAACTTCTTGAGATAACCTTTGAGCGCAGTGATAAACAAGATGTGCCAAACACACGCAGTCATGTCTGAGTAACCAAGTCAGACAGACACAAACATTTGGAAGAGATTTCAGAGGTCTGTTGATCCTGCAGGTGACTTTAGAAAACTAACAGCATCTGACACAACCTGCCAGACACAACTCAGGGTGTTGATTCATTTAAAGGTTGTATTTGAGAGAACACAAAGGGTTTTGTTGTGTTTTGAACCTTGTGCAGGCATCAAATCGTCCGTTTTCTTTACCAGATTCTCATTTCTAGATATCAGGGAGCTAGTGCCTATCTCCAGCAGTCACTGTGCGAGAGGCAGGGTCCACGCCAGGACTATGGTTGGGCAACAACAGCTTAAAAATGTATCACAATTAACCATAGTGTTTAGCCGATAGCAACTAATTTGACGAATAATAGATGACATTGTTGTGGCCTTGGTCTGCATTTTCTGGCTGCCCTCGTTCTCCCGTTTATGTCTGTGTTTCAGGTGATTAAACAAATGTGTATGGTCAGGTGTTAGAGTTAGCTTCTTCATGCTGCCTTCCACCATTGGGCACGCCTGATCGTGAGAGTGTGAAAAAACATCATCTGCATTTGGCACTGATTGCAGTAATTGCACAATAAATAAATTAAACAAATGAACAAATATTAATTGTTGACAGTTTTTCCTGGTGATTTACTGGACACGATACGATTTTGTGCAATCCAAGCCAGAACAGGTCGCAAGTCCTGAAACAGTCACTGCAGCTCCACCCTGTGCCAAGGTCCCTACAGTTTAAGGCAAGTTAAATTTATGACATTAAGCCCTCTTTAATGCCACTTGAAATTAAATTTAAGACCAACTTCACAATAAACACAAATTAAAAAAAAATGTCACAGCGACAATTTTACCCAAATGTTTATTTTAACACAAAACAAGCTGCAAGAGGCAATTGGTAAATTATTTTTAAAAATAAAAAAATGTTACCAATTATTTTAGTATTTTAGGACCTCTGAAACATTGATTTAAGACATTTTAAGGCTAATTAAGGCCTTAATTTTTTGGCTTGATGAATTCAATGCCTTTTAAGACTTTTTAAGGATCCACAGGAACCCTGCTGTGCTGACATCGGTCGATCCCATTTCATTTCATGTTTTTTAAACATATAAGCGTGGCATCAGCTATTATCCTAAATGACTGTTTTATATTCTGCTTTGAGAAAACAAATGTTATGTCAGTCACCCTCAGATGAGATTTCCAGCTGAAGACCATTCAAGGGCAGTGGGGTGGAATGGTTATCTCATAGCAAAGAAATGATGTTCTGTGTTGTCTGCAGAAAAACGTATGAGCCATAAATGTCATCGTTTGTCTCTTTATAATAGTTCTGATGACAATTTTATTATTGAACCCTGCCTAATAGAAAAAGATAAAGAAAATAACAGTGCTTGTATCAAATTTATTTAGCCAAAAGAGGCTGTCATGTTTAGAATCAATTAAGTGTGACTGAACAAAAATAAAAATAAAAACATCTGACAGTCGCCCTGGGTTATCAGTCTGGCGCAGTGTGAAAACAATATGATTTGACACAATAAACAGAAAATGTTCCATTAAGTGGAGTGGGTACTACAGGAACGATAGTAAAGAAGGTAAATGAAGCTGCAAAATCTTCAAGAATGAGAGGAAGTAACAATAGGAGACTTACAGTGTTAACCACTCTAATCTGTACTTTCCACTAACCCAGACATGTATATGGTAAATGGTTTGAATTTATATGGCACTTTATGAAGTCCCTACAGACTCCAAAGTGATTTACACTTCAGGCGTTCACCTATTTTAACACATTCACACACTGATGGTGGCAAGCTACACTGTAGCCACCGCTGGCCTGGGACACACTGACAAGAGATGAGTCTACCATGCACCGCCACCACCAGGCAATCTGACCACCACCAGCAGGCAATGAACGTGAAGTGTCTTGCCCAAGGACACAACGACTGAGACAGATGGAACAGAGGATTGAACCGGCAACCCACCAGTTTCAGGATGACTCCCATAACCACTCTGTCTAGCTGTCCCATTATTATTTCATGCTACGTAAAAACATTGATGCTCCCAGTTAAATGCACAGGGCTCACTTCCATCTCTTTTGTGAATTGCAATTTTTGTGTTAACATGTAGAACAACAATACCAATATTTACTACAAATGCAGTCAACTCAAGGTATGTAAATATGCTAACAATTATTTTAAAAAATGGCAACTGAAGAGCCAGATCCAGTTCTGGTACAGGATTTAATAGAGGAGAAATTCCATCCTCAATGAAACATTTTCAAAATATGTGGAGGGCAATGTTGCATAATCATGAAAAATGATGAGGATCATTATTTATTAACTTTTCTTACACTTGACTTTTCATTATTTGCTCAGCAATGATGTGTACTCTGCGACGCTTGCTGTAGACATAAATGTAAGTTTTGAGTATGAGCTGCTCTGCAGACTGATCTCAGCAAGAGCAAATCAACCACAATTTAGATGATCTTATACAATTTAAACAGGCCTTTAATCTCCACAAGAATAACTAAACATGACAAAAGTGGTCCGACACACAGCAAGTCACTCTTGGGAATAAACAAAGAAAATAAAACTGTGGTCAAAATATCTTCCAAATGCCAAACGTCAAATAAAATCAGTGTATAGGAACAAAAACAGATGGCATTTAGAATGCTTCCATGTCTGACTCTTACCAACTTGGCTATAAATCATACACCTCTTGTAGAAACATGGTGGTGAATGTCTCCAAATGTCATTACTGAGCTCTAGGAGCCATTTTACCAGAGTTAGTGATTTAGGAGCCTGACACTGTACATGAGTCATCCATCCATCAGGTTCAGCTGACCAAGGAATGACACAGCGGGGGCTAGAATACGGATGGCACATTGCAGTGACATACACCTGGCACCCATTCAAGGATAATGGGGCTATATTTGGACCCATTTTGTCACTCTTTGCAAACAGGAATGAGTCTGAGGTGACAATTAAATGAAAAATGACCTTGTTAAATCATCTCATGGTGTGAGGGACTGTCTGTTGATATCTAAACATTCTGCCTCCCCGTCACCGCAACCAGTGTAGCTCTATTAATCTCCCTTTTTATGTATTGTCCACTAATGAGTTTATCAGAACATAAAAATAAAAAGATGTCAGTTTATCATACACAAAAAAATACTTATCTGTGTGTCTTTGTTTACTACAGACACCCAACTTTAGGACCCTCATTTTTCTTTGGATTAATATTTAATTGTGTGCATGCATTATTCAGCAATTTATTTTCTGTTGCTCCCTCACAACCTAATGTTTTGCAGGGTTTGTGCGATTTTAACAAATGCTGGTCAATTCCCCACTCCACCGCATTCCACTGCCCAAATTACCTAGGTCTAACCATGCTGAAAACACAACAATAAACCTAGTCCAAATCTGCTGATCTTCAACTGAAATCGTACAGTAGATTAAATCATCAGTATTGGAGCAGATATGCTTGGTGGGTATGAAGTGGACAAAAGTGGGTACAAAGTGGGCAGGGCAGACAAGCTGTGGTTTGAAGTGGGTATGAAATGACAGGTGGCGAGCTTATGAATGACTTTAAAGGGGACATATGCTTTCAAATTATTCCTTTTCACATTTAAATCATTCAGCTGGGGTCTACATAAAGAAGAACTGCAACTCTTTTGCCTGAATTCTTCCTCATTGTAACTCCACAGGCCCCTCTTTCACTTGTTCTTAAAGGGATCCATGATTAGTTGTAACATTAGACTTTATTTAATAAACATATATTTTAATTGTAAAATAAAGACTGTAAAAATACTGTAGGCTGTTTAGTTTTTATAATTTTTTTAACTAAAACAGGCTAAGCTGAGGTTCTTCTTCCATGAAGCAGCTCTGTTGTCCTCCATCTATATTTTCAGTTACAGGC